CAGTGAAAACGCATAAAAACACAAATAATAAGGCTGCCCGTGCGAAGATGCGTTTTTTGCGTAGGTCCCCGTAAATTTCTGTCGCTAATAGCGCTTTTTTTTTCTGGCAGATGCTTCTAGCTAAAAAAATTTCATACTGCCCGCCAGAACTATCAGGAAACATCCCTTCAAAATTTCAGTCTTCTAGCTTCTCAGATTCCCGAGTTAGCAACTTACTCGAAAAAAACTTTCACAGGCCCATACGTGGAAATGACTCATACCGGGGGATAGATTTGAATTCATCAGTGCCTACGTGAATGGGGAACATTTGCCTAAATTTCCAGTCTTCTTGCTTTTCAGGTTGTTCAGCTATCAAATTACCCAACAAAAAATTTGGCGGACCCGTACGTGGGTATCACGCATACTCGAGAGCTGGGTATGAGCACAATGAGACCTGGGTGGACGGGGAATATCCTCTCAAAGTTACTTCTTCTAGCTTTTCAAATTCTCGAGTTAGTGAATTACCCGAAAACTTTGGCGGACTCGTACATGGGTACCACGTAAACTCGAGGGCTGGGTTTGAGCTCATTGAGACGTACGTGGACGGGGAACATCCGCTTAAAATTTCAAATTCTTAGCTTTTCTGATTCGCTAGTTAGCGGCTTACACGCAAAAAACTTTCATGGGCCCGTGCATGAATACAACACGGGTAATGCCGCCCATTTTGGGGATGGGGGTCCCGCACATGCATGTGGATTAAGCTCCCAAAGTTTCAGTCCCATAACTTTTGTAGGTCTCGAGATGAAAAATCGGTGGCTCAGCGCACACACAGCCTCTCGTCAATATGCGTTTTCCACATTGCATAGCTGCAAAAAACGCATAAAAATTATGAAGTGCAACCTTATCCATAAATCGGAAGAGTGTCTCAAGGGTACTCTTGTGCCTGTACAACGTTTCAACCACATCTGGTTTCTCCTGCAATGTTAGAGGTTAAGATAACAGTATTTGAGGATATGAAAAGAGACATTGCGGTCCCAGTAAGAAAAGAAAACGATCCACACCTGTGCGAATTTTTTGCCACCAGTGCCCATCTGTATTGCTGGTGGATTTTCTTTGTAAAGCACATTTTTGCCATCGTCGGCTAATGTAACGAGCCGTGCAGTTAGTGCATGCCAGGGCAAATTTAGCCCCGTAACATTTTCGACACATTTGCACCACTTATGCACCGAGATTTTGCCTAAATTATTGTATAAAACTGAAAGAAACAGACACGGGCAATATTCTGATTAATGAAATATGCAACAGGAAGCTGGCCACTGGCCATATTTATTGCTGGTAAGTCTTCCTTGCAAAGCCCTTCCTTCTGCAATAAGCTATCTCAAGTACAAATTGATTTGTAAAATAGTTCGTAACGATGATCGTGTAAACGATTTGAGACATAGAAATCATCATTTTGAATTTATAGCCAGCTTATTTGTGAAGTTATAAATCTGTTAAGGAGTCAGATAATATTGAATACCCGATAATGAATATGTCAAAACAATCAACACAATCTAACAGCCAAAACAAGCCATATGCCGTCCATACGTACGCATTTTAATTTCGAATTTTTGATTTGGACTGTTCTTACATTATTA